TGAGAAGATCTGGTTGTCTTGAGAAGACTAGTCTTGAGAAGATCTGGGTGTCAGGCAATGGAAACAGTAGGGGATGGTAAGGCAAAGACCCTGAGATAGGAAGAGTCTATCTGAGGGGCAGAATGAAAAGTGGCTGGAGCAGCTTCAGAGGTATACATAGGATGGAGTGTCACTGCCATACTGCTGCTCAACAAACCCATATTCTCCATTCCTCAAATGACCAGCTCCCCCAAATGCCTATTAGACAAATCCAACTGCCTGGCCCTAATGCGAGTGCCAAACCCAGGCAAGAAAGCATAAAACACCATCATAACAATGTGTGAGGTTAGAGTGGGACTGGTCAAGTTTGGTCTCTCTAGGGGAGATGTTTAAGTCTGATCAGTCTTCTCCAGAAGTCAGCTATGGGTCAGGAAGAAGAATAGAACTACCTCTTAGGAGGTAGCCTAGGTTGGATGGAGCACAGAGTGTTAGAGTTGAGGAGATGGGATGAATCTGAGGAAAGGACTGAATAGCAGTGAAGGGAAGATTCTGAACATCCTTTTTAGAAAAAAGTAACGACTGGCTTCTTTTGTCAGTGATAGATAGTTATCCTGATGAGCTTAAGGCAGAATGGTCTGTCAACGCCAGAATTATCTAGGTCAGGCAGTAGGCCACTGTTATTTTTACAGAAATCTTAGCCCACCCAGATTGGTTCTAATTGTGCCAGTCATACACTTTGATGTTGCTTTGGAATATTTCTCAACATTCTCTTTGTTTTTAATTGAAAATACCCCATCTTTTCAGAAGGGTCATATGTTTTTTTATGAGAGAAGACTCTTCACTCTCTTCTTTTGCTACCCATATAGCAGTTAACATAACACTGGGCTAGCACAATCTTCTCAACAGGAAAACTTCTCAAGTAGCTTAATGCCACAGCTGGAGACAAACTATGCTGCTACCAGCAACTCCTGGTGACAAAATGGTCTAACATGCAGTCTCATGGGAGCACTTGATTCAGTCCACGGGAGCACTTACCTCAGTACCATGGGAGCACCCTATTTAGGCCATGGGAAACAAGAAACTAGGCATGGAGGCTGCTTACCTATTCTTCCTGCAGCGAATTGTGAAGGCAAGGAAGAAAACCATCAGAAGAAGTCCACCGCTGAGAAAAGTCCAAACAACACCCACGAGGACAGGAGATAATGAAGAGCTGGTTTTACTGCTGTAGTGGGAGGAGGTCTGAAAAAATAAGACAGTGAAGCTGTTAGGAATAAAGGTTCTGCGGCCTTCCCTGGTGGTGCAACGGGTTAAAACGCAGCAACGCAAGCGAGCTGCAGCCATTTCAGTGCAAGTTCGATCCCTGGCCCTCAGGTGACCCTCAGGTGACCCGCATGGCACCGCAGACCTCTCCTGACCCGCACCAGCTGCTCCCCTCAACAGCGTACCTCAATGATCTGTCTGTTCTGCTCCCCACTCTGTCTCTGGTGAAGCTTCTCACTGCCCCTGCACCTCTGGCCTGTACCACAATTCTGTATGCATAAATAAATAAATCTTAAAAAAAAAAAGGAATAAAGATTTTCCTGATGAGCCATGAACTGCCTGATCTGCTGTCATCTAGATTGCGAAACACATGTTCTACATGACCATTTCTTCTCTTCTCTCACCCCCCGACCTCCATAAGAAGTAGCCCTGACACCCATGACTGCTCACTTACAATTGTTGTCCCGCAGAGATCATGAAGGGGTCTCCGATCCAGTCCCTGACCAGGAAAACTGTCACATAACTCAGAGCAGTTTATTTCAGGCTCCATGTCATCACATGCTGCACTCGGTGAGTTCCTATTCAGTCTTGGTTATCCACTGGTAGGTAACCAGCAGATTTTTTTTACTAAAACGTAAGAGCAACTCAAATCTTTTCTTCACAAGGGCCATTTGCGAGCTGGCTTCTGGCTCAGAATCCGGGGTAAATAACCCATTCAGGTGGAAGCAAAGGGTTCTTTCACAAGTTTCCTTCATCAGGCACAGTCCAGGCTCTTCAGCCGCCAGGGCATATCATATGAGTCAAAAATAGGGATTTTAGCAATCATTAGATTACCACCATGATGATTCTGGCTTGCCACCAGGTGGCAGTCACTGCTTCAAGTAGCCTCACATGAGTCTCAAGGAAAGCAATTAAACCTGTTAACAAATTAAATAAATTATACAGGTATATATACACACATAAACATCTATACACATATGAGAAAATAGTTTATTAGCAGTTTAAAGCATTTTATATATTTGAATTATATAGTTATATTTTGATTTTATAGTTATATACTTTGCAGTTAATAGAGAAAAGAGATCAACTTTATACAATTCAAGTTTCAAATGTATTTAAATAAATATATTTTAATCCCCTACAATAAACAATAATTTAAAAACAAAGAACCACATCTAACAATTTTTAGATATAAATATCTACAGTTTCTCTTCAGATCCTTTTTATGGGCTAAATCCATAAAAATCTTAATTTAATAGACATGCAAGGCACATCTTTCTTTTTTTCTGTAGCGAAGTCTCCTGCCTTTCTAAGATCTCTCTATATAATTCCTATCTTAAACTGTCTGATTTGATAGTAGTCCTGGGCTCAGGTGTTCCATACTGGGTGTAGCCAATGTCCTTCCATAGCTCTAGTTTTGTTCTTGCAGGAAGCAGAGGAACATTCTGTGTCCAGTCAGCTGGGGGCACAAAAGGATAAGAAAGCCTTTTGCCTAGAGTTTGTTTTCAAATTTTTAGAACAATAGCATAGATAAGCTACTCAGGTAATAGAGTAACTTCTCATTTAACATCATTGAGAGGTTTTTAGAAATTGCAACTTTAATTGAAAGTATAAGGAAACTGAGGGCTTGAGTAGTGTCATTTCATATAGCAGTGGCTGGGATTTATTTTCTCTTTACTTATCAATATTGTAACAAAAGAACATGGTTTATCTGAGGCCTGCTATCAGGAGAAATTAAGGAGCTCTAGGAATATTCACAGAGTATGGTATTATTTCTCTCAGATGCTTGCAACTTCTAAGAAGTTCTACCTTGCAGAATAAAAGTAGAAATGCATGAAGGCTCAAATTAGCCTGGTAGAACAAGGTAGACACGTTCCTAATTCTTTAAAGCAATTAATAGTCCTGCCCGCAGCTCCCCTCAGCAGTGAATTTCAGTAGATATACCTGTTCTGCTCCCCACTCTGTTTCTAGTGAATCCTCTTAGCCCCCACACTCCTGGCTTACACCTCAGTTCATGTATGTATAAATAAATCTTTTTAAAAATTAAAAAATCAAGCAGTTAATAGAGAAAAGAGATCAAAATTTTACCAATAGGAACCTAAAAGAGGATGCCACTTGTGTTTTGAAATATCTTGATACTGTTTTCTTTTATCGTAGAGGAAAACTAGAAAACAGGTCATTGTGTTTTAATAGCTATTAAACATAGGACTTGTGTTTAAGTCACAGTAACAGCGACATGTGTAGGATGGTGTCTTTGAATTCTGTGACTTAGGCATGAACAATATAGCACCAGGTGTTACCGTTCACTGGCTTCTTATGTGCTCCTGAATTATTTACTAGGTTCATTACAATGAAATCCCAAGAGAACTAAAAGCCACTATGTCCTGTCATGAAATTTAAATTCTTGTGCAATCTCATCAGATTATTGAATGCAAAATTAAGAAGTAAATATTAAAATGTGACTATGAGCATTCTAATTTAGTTGAAATATTAGTTGTTGAAAGAGCAGTCTCTTTCCTTTTTTGAAAGCTAGAGATCCCACATTGTGCTGTCTAGCACAGAATAATATTTTAAGCCACAGGGAGGACCTATCTTTCCTATATTGCCCCTTTAGTCATACTGGTGAGTACACTTATATTTGAACCATTATTAAGCCCAGTTCTGTACCCTTGCATTATATGGAAGCACATATGAGTGTCTGTATATGTGCGTGTAAAAAACTTCATTCCATTCTCACGACAATATTGTAATGTAAAGTAAACATTTTCAAATAAGGAAATGAAAGAGCAGAGACTAGGAGAAACTTGTTCTATATCTGAAGAGGTAGGACTTGAATCTAGGAGTTTACAATCCAAGGTGAATGTCTTCTCAGTATTCAACCAACATTGGACAATTGTCTGGCCACCTCCAAGAAGATATCAAATGGCTTACTGGGTTTCTTCATGTTTATACTCCCCAGAACTGCACTGCAATGGGTTCCTTGAAATGTGGCACACATTGTGCATCTATAACAGTAGTTCTCAACTAAGACAAATATTTCCAAAGGACATTTGTTGATAAAGCCAAAATAAAGATTCTACTGACATGTAACAGGAAGAGACATCTAGAAGGAATGCTATTAAAATCCTACAATTCACAAGATTGTCCAAACAAAGAATTATCCAGTCTCAAATATCAATAGTGTTAAGGTTGAGAAGTGCTGGTTGATGCAGTGACTCCTAGAAGGTCTAAAATCTTAAACTCAAATCATCATTGGGAGATTCTTTTGATGAGGATATTGTTTATCAGAACATAAATAAGTTCAGAGGATAAGTTTCTTAGTACATCTCAACTGTACCTTGCACAGACTGAACTCACATAAAACTTGACAAAAAACTTGTGAGTTCAAAGCTCTCCTTCAGTCCAGGGACATCCAGGGTAGGAACTCTATATACCATGATACTGGACTTCCCTGTGGGAAAGACATTTGACTCCAACGTTAGCACAGAGATTCTCAAATGGGAAGCTAGTAAGACTGAATGATTTGGTCACTGAGAGGAATGTTGAATGATTTTAAAGCCGTTGATTGGAAAAATAGGTAAGGAGTATTTGTGCTTTGTTGGACCACAAAGCACAAAGAAAAAGGTCTGCTTGACTCTTTCAAGAGTAAACACCATCTACCAAACCCCACACCAAGGCCCCATCTACACACAGTCTCTAGAGATAAAATGTCCAGGCCACACAGAGACCATGGTAAATCCAAGGCCATCCATGGTAGGGCCTATAGTTTATAATCCATGTATTTAGTTTAGTTTATAAGGTACTATTTAATATTAGTTAGCTTATAATCTACAAAGATTATAATATCCTGCGCACTGTGAGGATCAGGAAAATGGATATTGTATCAGCTACCTGTTCCCAAGTACAAAATGGTCTATTACAGGCTCACAACTCTCAAAAGTCCTATATTTTCCCACAAAATTTTTTACTGTTCTTCTACATATTATTTCTGGATATTGAAAAACCAGTCATACAACTACTGTATTTGAAAGTTGTTTTGCAGATGTGGAACTTCTACTTTTATTTGCAAGAATTAACAGCTTTAAGAATTGTCTTCTGATTGTAAACAATTTGAAAGTTAGTCAAAATAAAAGAAGCAACTCTTTTCAGACACTGGATAACAGCTATCATAGGACTATGTGAAACAAGTAAGGTGAGCTCTATAACTGACTGACATATATAAAATGGAAATATATAAGTAAATAGCCATTCAATGATTATGAATGACACCAAGTTACTGCCTGGAGGCAATTTCTAGTTTCTAGACCATAACACAGGAAGAGAAATCCAAAGGAAGCCTAGATGTCTTGCTGAAATAAGGAGGATAATTGGGCTTGGGATGTCAAAGTAGATACAGTTTATGGGGCAGAGTAATGTAGAAGAGAGAGGGGGGAGGTAGAGAAAATGAGAGAGGAGGGAAAGAGAAAGAGAAATCTGTAGGAAATCTGTCAGTCTTTTTCTGAGTATAGATCTAGGCAGAAGTGAGCAGAAACTACTTGAAGTGTAAGAAATAATCACTGATGAACAACTATATACCAGAAACATTTTACTGGAGTGGAGTGGGGAATGGGATCAAAATGAGGGGTTGGGAGGAGTGCACTGGACTATGGTGATGGCACATGGGTGATTTGGTGATGGGAAGCCCACGGGGATTACAACTGAGATGGAAAAAGGCATAAAGTAATGTAAGAATAAACTATTATATTATCAAAAATAAATAAATAAATAATCACTGATTGGCATTAGCTGAACATTTCTGCAGCCCACACAGGGCTGGGAATATTTTGTCTTCCCACCAGCCAAAATGCAGAGATCTCATAAAATATAAGAGATTAAATAAAAGTCCTTGGAAGTCATATTTTAGCTGTAGAACTAAAATTTACTCTGGACCTGAACTAATAATACTTAAAATAAAGCACAAAAATGATCATATTGATCTACAAGAAATTCAACTGCATTCTTGACCACAATATGATACACTGCAAAGGAATACAATAAAGCCCAGCACTCAACAACACAAAATTCAAAATGTCCATAAGGTAGTAAAAAATTACCAAGCATGCACAGAAGCAAAAAATAGGACCTATGACTACATTTTTTAAAAATTCAATAAAAACAAATACAGAAATAACAGAAATTAAATAAAAAGCACAAAGGATCTTAAAACAACTATTATAAATATACTCAAGAATATAAAGAGAAAATTAACAAAATGAAAGAAATAAAAGATACCCACAAAATCCAAATGAAACTTCTAGCAATAAAAATATAATTTTGAAATAAAAAGTTAGATACTGTTAATTTTTGTACAGTAAATTAAATACTGCTAGAATAAAATATTGGTTAACCTAATGGCACAGTAATAGAAGTTATCCAAAATGAAATGAAAAATGATTGATAAAAGTATACTTGGACTCAGACTTATGGAATAATAATAAATGTGTAATTAGAGTTCTGGGAACAAAAAAGGAGGGACTAGAAAAAAATATCTGAAAGAAATAACAAACAAAAATGTTTCTATTTGATGAAAAATATAAATGTACAAATCTATTAAGGTCAACTAATCCCAAGCAGAATAAATGTTTTAAAACACAAGGGTGGGGAGGGTAAAGGATGGAGGTAGTATTGTGATATTGTGCAGCCAGATTATGTACAGAGGGAAACAGCAAAACTTACAAATCCTCATTTGAAATTATTTGAACCAGAAGAGAATGGCATGACATCTTTAAAGTGCTAAAAGAAAAGAAGTCAACCCAAAACATAATGTCCAGTTAAAATGAGTTTTAGAAATTAAGCTAAAATAAAGATGTTTTCGACAAAATCTGACATGTACTATAAGAAAAAATTTTTTAAAAATATTTATTTATTTATGCATACA